ATGATGAGCCAGGAGCGAGAAGACCAAGAAGAATAAGTAAACATCTGATCATTGGCACTCCGAATTCCTTTGATTTGGGAGGGATGATCAGGTAGCTGTGGTGTAATAGTTCTGGAAGAAGAATCACATCGATAGCGCAGCACTTTGTCATCATGTTGAACCTCAAGCATAACTGGTGGGCGATAAAATTCCAGGGAAAGAAAATTCATGAGCACGGGCGAGTGTGGGGCTGAATCACGTAGCAGAATGAAACGATCGTCGACGTAGCGCTCATGCCAGATCACACCGATATCGGGCATGCGAAAACGCAGAGAACACATTGTCTGGTGCCAGAAGAAATCCTCAACCGTGGCAACCAGATTGCAGAGCGGTGGCGCGGCTGGTGATCCCATAGCGACTCCCCGTTCTTCGCGGAACAAGTATCCGTTGATCTCGAAGTGACTGTTGTCAAGGACGAAGTCCAGAAGGTGCCGGAGATCTTGTTCACGAAAAGTTCGAGGGATCTTTGTTTGACGGCGCCATTTTCCTTTGAACATACGGCGTCGATGATCAGACTTTACTTCGAACACTGACCATTGAGAGGATCTGCGAAGGCCAACAACTTGATCGTACCGATGGAGAAGCACCTGTAGTGCCTGGTGGAAGCGCTCCGTAGGAATGGACGTGAAGAAGCCTGACAGGTCTTGAGATACCAGGTGGATGTATTCATCGGTATCAGCCTTTGACAGCGACTCCCACAGCTGCTGGACAAGTTCTTGTACTGAAAGTTGACCTGCAATGTCGGGAAAAGTGGCTTTGGTAAGTTCAAACATGAGGGCGCCGAAGACCGTGAGGAAGGGAGCTGCCCACGTGCGAAAGAATGAAATGATGGGTCGTGCTTTCTGCCAGTCCTTGGTGCGCTGCAATGATGTCGATGACCAATAAGCACGATCTTGAAGGTTAGATCGATGAGTGTCCATCAATTGAGTCAAGACCGGCTGCAGATCAACAAGAAGACTGGAACCATGCACATGCCAGCGACGAGCAAGTTTGCGAAGTTGCGTAGTGAAACGTTGATGTAACAAGTCGACATCACCGAAATACTGATCCTTCATTGACGCGGCCATGATTTCCATGTCAATGTCCGCATTGATGCGTGAGAACGCATCAACCATTACAGCATGTCCATGTGCACGGTGTATATGGTGATCATCGATGTCCAAACAGCGACACGGAAAAGATGTTTCAGGAGTCCATCTGCGCTGCCATGTGCGGTAGTTGTAGATCTTGTCGCCCAACGTGGCACTGCGAGTTTCCACCACCCGGATCTTTGGAAGGAAAAGGGAGGGAAACAAATCACGATGAGAAGCAATCCAGCTTTGTAACCATGTGCCAAGTTGAGCTTTCCAATTCCGGACATGTAGAGGCGGTAGGAGTAGTTGTGTCAAAGTGGTGGGTGAATGTAGCTGTCTTTTGCGTAACACCTGGGCGAGGAGTTTCTGTGCCTTGGAACGGAAGGGCTCGTTGACAAAGACGGAGAGCCGCAGAAAGTAGTAAAGCTGAGTAGGAGGGAAAGCTGCCGACAGAAGGTCACGCATGGCTTGGAACGATGCACCTGTATTGGATCCCAGCTGATAGAGAATAGAGTAATGGGCCTGAATGTCATCCAGCATGTCGGGACGAAGTTGCCGTTGGAGATCCGGATGTAGTCGTCGTCGAAAGCGTTTGTGCAAACCGAGGGAAGTGGGAGACGACAACGAATGACGTCGAAAGTCAACGAGATGTTCCCGGAAGCCCACCTTTCGTAGAAGTCTGTGTACCCAGGGCGCATTCAAATGCGGGCGTAGCAGGTATTGCCACTTGCTTTCCTGGACCCAAACCGAGGAAACGGGAAGTTTGATCTCAACCGGAACAGCACAGAAGAGCCAGTAAGTGTTGGATCGCTTCCAGTAGTGAAGCGCGGGTTCAAAGAAGGCATGACGTCCCCGAAGTAGTTGTAGAAATTTGCGACTGCGTGAGTGTTCACGTCGTAGAACATCCTGATCAGTCGCACCAACGTAGTAAGGTGTGTGCCATGGGGAAAGTCGGATATAGACGCACGGTTGTTGATGATGACCTGGATCGTGAATGAAGTCATAGAGGTCCGGAAACCGTGCCCGCAATGAGCGAAGATGTCGCGTGTCGGCAAAAGTGGAGTGCATAATTTCACACAGGAGAGAAGCCTTGTAGAAGTGAAGGACTTCAAAGAACGGTGGAAAGTAGCCATGATCTTGGGAAATGAGACGTTGCAAGAAACTGATCAATAAATAGGCAGTGCACCGACATCTATGAAGCTCATACCTGTTGGCCACAGTGTGTTGAGATTGTGACATAGCGTGATTCGGAATCTGAAGGGCAATCCGGACCACAACTAAGACTTCCAGAATGAGGCCCAACCACGGTAGTTGCGTGATTGATTCGTACTCATCAGCTGGTATCGACGGTGGTGGTAGTCCAGGGAAGCAGTATTGCCAGCACGTAGAGAACATGGTCAACGAATGTAAAAAGTTGTCCAGAGACTGCCATTGTGCAACATCATCATAGATTCCACAGCGGCGAAGCTCAGCCAACATGGTGAAAATGCAACCAATGAAATCTACCATAAGGCGGCGACATGGATACAAGCTGCACAGACAATCACGCACAAGGCAATGCAAGCACAACCAACACAAGATCAAACTGATGCAACGCAAAAAGATGACGGACGAGTTTTAACCTTGACTCATCCGTGACACGGTTGCCGCTCCGGGCTCATAGGAGAACGAGGGTCGTTAAGATGCCTGCTCATCCGCAGAGTAAGCGAGCGGTCACGATGAGGTGACTCAATGCCTTCTCAGTGAGCTTGGTGAGATAGCCGGGCTCCAGTCCCCACGAAGCCGCCATCGCCCCGAGAGTAGGTGCGTCGCCTTTCGGCATGCGTTGACGCGCCTGAAGGAGCTGCGTCACCATGGAATCTAATGACTTGTTGCCGTTGAGCCGGGACGGGTGATTGGCCCACTTGACCAGTGACGCCAAAGTTGTGGTTGTGGGCGATTGCTTGAGATAAAGGCGTGGCTGGTCACTGGTCCATGTGTAGTACTTGACAACTTCTTCCGGCGTGCTGTGCATGGTGAGCAATTGTGACGCTGCCGGCTTGGACGGCGGTGAAGACACTCCGTGAAGAGACTGAATGATCCGGGGTTGCACCACGCTATCAAACGACTTGCCATCAAGGGCCGCTGCGCTGGCCGTAGGGAGGGAGCTGGCAGGTGACGAGGATTGTGTGTGGTTGACCGGTGGCGGTGTAACCAACTCTGCATCATCTTTCTGGCTTGCCATCGTGGGGGAGGTCGAAGCGCGCAGCGATGCTGAAAACTGAGCCTGGAGCAGCTCATGCGCACGGTTTAGATCATTGTACTTCTTGACCATGTCATCTGTCTGGGTGGAAGGTGTGAGAGAAGCGTGGTGTTGCTGAAGAAATTGAAGTACCAAGCTGGCCAAATGGTCATGAACCTTGATCCGCTGATTGAAGTCATCGATGTTGAGACCCAGCGAGTTGGCAAGGTCCTTTTCCAGGGTGAGCAGGTTGATCGCCTGCGATCGTCGTAGTAGTTTGGAACAGGTACTCCAAAGCAAGGCCTCGGTGCGAGTGCGAAAGCCTTCCCACGTCCACGAATCTGCCGTGAGCGAACGGTCGGAGCAGCCAGTTGGTGAGTCCCCCATGAATAATAACCTGAACCAGGCGAACGTCACGAATATCCATGCCTGACATGTCGCGCTGGTTGCCATGCGGAGTGTTGGCAACGGTCATGGGTAGGCTGAAGTTGTAGAGCTGATTGACATCAAACATGCCATCTCCAGGTGTCCAGTCAGGGGATGGTGTAAGCCAGGCTTTCTGAGGACGAACCGGTAGAGCTGCAGGAGGTCCCGGTGGCGGTGTAGGTTGCTGGGTAGTGACCGGTGGTGGCATCACGGGTGGCATGAACTTCGTTGGCGTGGGGTCTGGAGGGATCGGCATCATGTAGTTGATCGCTGGATGTTGGAATTAAATTGGTGGGCATCATCGGGAAATTGTTGGCAGAGTTGTAGCCGGAACTGTGTTGCCAAGATACCAGGTTGTTCCAATCCATGCCTTCCGAGACGTGGTGATCATTGTGTTCAGGTCGGTGTGCTTTACGAGCTTGAGGAGAAGTACTCCGATCACGTCTGCGCCGAGTCCTGGATCTATCACGATCATCACGACGAGACATGGTTACACAATCGACTCTCAATCTTCACGCTTCCACCGTGAGAGACACGTATCAGACAACATGCAAATCCATGCAACGGCAAGGTATCAGCGAATCCAACAAATGGCAAGCAAACGCAAACATCAGTGGTGAGACGTCTCTATGATCTGACCGCTGTCTTCTTCCCTTTAGTGAAACCTCGTTCCTGGTTAACTGTGAAATTCCGCTGTTCTATGATAAGCACGTTGAGGTCAAATTTTCCGACAGAGCCGGCCCGGGGTCACACAATGGGTACACCCGAGGATTCCCCACGAATGGGGTGTACACACTTAAACTCCAAAAGGAGAGTGCTAATCTTTCGAGTACAACTGATGAGTCTGGAGTACAACTGATGAGTCTCGAGTATGGTGAGATTCGACTCGCGCAACACGTGGCTTCCCTGTAGTTACTTTAAAAGGGGGCACACAGAAGCAACGGCGGTTCAGGGAGGGGACCAAAAGGACATTCACAAACATCACAACGGCAGGTACGTCCAACGGCGTCCCGTTGGATTTCACCAGCAAAGAAGGGCGTCTTCATTGGCGCAGGTCCCTTCAATGCTGCCCGCGCCCCCTGCTGAGAAACCGAAAAGGTGGTGACAGGGCATTCTGTCACTCCGCACACACACACACACGCAGATGCTCAGGCCATTTTCTGCAGCAAATTGATATTGTTCAACATTGATCATGATTTACCACACTTGACTGGCCAAATTGAATGCCGACGCGGCTGCAGGCTCTGACGCTGCCTGGACGGCAAGACTCCTCCGTAGTGGCCTTACAGTCCTTTTGCTGCAGAGTCCATGATTCAATGCAACATGCAAACATGCCAATGTTGCTCATGTCTCGCTTTGTGTCTTGAGAAGCTGCTAACACAACAAGCGAAGCATGCGAAGCCAACTCATGTGCAAGGCTGCCAGCATTTGCATTTGCATTCGCGAGCGGGAAGACGACGAGGTGGAGGTGGCTTGCCTACAATCAGAGCTGGATACTGAACTCATGCTGTTGAAACAGTACAGATTGCTATTTTGCAAGACGAACACAAAAAGATACGCGTGGCGCCTCTGCCATCTTAGTTGAGTTGTTTCATGGTTGCTATCGTTTATGGATGTGGTTTGACCGCACTGTTTCATGTGAGCGAAGCAACAACTAAGTGCACGCCAGGAGGAGAGAGCGCCTAAAAGGCAAGGCACGGGTCATGACTCGCGATCGTCTCCGTGCATGCGGTACCCTTTCAAAACACAGGGGCATGGCAAGCGTCGTGGGATAGATTGTGTGTGGCAGACCAAGGCGGTGGATGCAAAGTTTGGTTGTAGCAAGCTTTGCACCTGCCACAATCAGCGCATGCAAGAATATACTTACCCGCATAGCTGCCAAGATTCCTTGCCATGATTAAGGATTGACACTTCCATTGCCTGTTTCCGATGACCAAGGCATTGTTTAAATTTGGACCCATCATGTTTAGTTTGAACTACCATGTCATTCAGAATTTCCATGTCCACCACCTGAGACGATTTTGAAGGTATCTCCGACACCCTATTGCATTGATTGCAATGATGCGAGTGAATTGCGCTGCGGTATCTTTGTGGAGGAGCACTTAAAGCGGTCTTTTGCAAAAACAAGTACTGCTGAGGCAACGCGGTGTGAGTGGCGCGCTCCTCAAAGGGATGGGAATTCGCGAGCGGAGGCCTGCTTTCTTTGCTCATGGCAGTTCCCTGCACTGTGGATACGTGCTTCTTTTTACGCAGCAACCGCACTTTGTTGGCCTTCAGCACGCAGTTTGCCAAAATTATAATATGCGCACTGCTTGAACACACAACTCACAACTCACAACATATTTGTAGCAGGAATGCACCATCGCCCCGTGGGTTGTGTTTGCGACGTGGTTTGAGAGTGGTCTATGCCACATGTATTCACAAATCAAGGTTTAGAGTTCGCACAAAGACATTGAAAGGATTGCATTAGCTCGTCCACGCGCCCTGGTCATTGTGCTTATTTTGCTGAGACGTGCCACTTCTTCTGAAACTAATTGAAACACAATGACAGAGAGATGAAAGAAGGGCTCACCATGGCAGTGAGCTGCCGCCAACTATACCATACAGAGGCAGGCCTATTCTGCGTCTGACGGGGGAGACAGACAAAAACAACACATCATGTTTGGTTGCCTGGTAATGTGGCATTCCTTAGCAAGCACGATTATTGAGGCCACCAACCAGCAAGTTTAAGGTGTGCATGCCGGCGTATCCATTTGCCGTCAGTGAGTCGAACTGACTGAGTATACTGGTGCTTAGCTTGGCCTCATCTCTTGCTTGTCCTGCCACGGGTCAAATATATCAGGTCCCGCGAAGGGGGACATGTTTTCACAGCATGAAGGTATGAACAGGGCCTTGCAGGCGTTGAACAATGTCGCGGCTCAAGACACACAATTGTTCAGACCAGCACGATGCTGCGTGCAACTTTTTGGATTGCTTGTCAGACATTATTCTCAGTGTTTTATGCGATTTCTCACAGCATGTGTTGTTGGAGAACTTTCTCTCAAGTATGTAAGGATGGTGATGGGTGTGTAGGATTTCGCAGCTCACGGACTGGCAAACTAGGCAGAGACACATTTCCCGAACTTTTTCGTGAACTGCTTCCACTTTGAATCCTCGCAACATTTTCATCGCCCAATTCCCAATGGAGACTTTGTGTTATTTTGCATCCGTTTGCTTCCGTGCTGAGGCCCTAGGTCTGTACGCCTACGCCATCTGCTTTTGCGCTGTGCGGAGCCGGGTAAGCCTCTGCCCGAGGATCCCATGGTCGTAGCCTCAGGCCGTTAGATGCCCTCGGACAGCAAGCCCCCCGCTGAAGGCCCTCTGAGACGAGATTGCCCAAGAATCTGCCCTTCAAGATACGCGTTTTGTTGCCGCTTGTTGCGGTTAAAGCCAGCACCTTGCGCAAGGCACGGCGGCGGAAGGTGCAAACCACTCGCACGCCCACAGAAGCTGAGGGTGAGCTGGTCGTAGCGGGCCTAGCTCATCTTGGCCAATCTGCCTCAGTTCTGGCGAAGCAAACTGTTTGTTGTTTGTTGCGGCTTTCAGGTCCGGCCCAATCAGTTTGTTGTTGCGCTGAATGCTTCCTGGTATGTATTGGACCTCTCTGGCCCACATTTACGTCATGACAGTATGGTCGCACTGTGTCTCCGACAGCATTGCCCAGCACTTTAGAAGAGCAGACTCTATTTGCGCAGTCTTGCTCATTTTGGCCCATTTTCAGAAATCAACATGTCTTTGAGATCTGACAGCTGTGTCTGCTGCCGCTCAGTTTTCCTCTGCCTTTCTCCTCCCAAGAATCCAGTATGACTGTTCTGGGCCAAACACGGCACAGAACCGCAGCTTGGCTTCCCCCGAGAGCTCGTCTCGCCTGGCGTTCGCTGCCATGGACCCACGGCAGCAAGTCACGCGCTGCGCTGCCTGCTGCGACGAGGATGGCGCCCTGGCAGCCCTGGCCGCAGGGGGTGGCCAGGGCAAGCGGGAGCGCGAGACCGGCGCCCCGGCGCGACAGCGGAAATGACTCGTCGGGCATGCGCCATGGTGCTCAAGCGAAGTCTGGTAAATTCATCGCAGAATTGCTTTTTGCGGCAAGCAGGCCCCGCCACTCACAGGTTCTGAGCTGCCAGTTGTGGGAGAACACAGTTTGGTGATTATGCAGAGTTGTTCCGCGTTCAATGTCATCTTGATTGCTTATTATATTATACATTGAACATGATGTGAGGTCGTTGGCCCTGTCAGCCCAGGTTACACGGCCCTGCACTATGCCACGCAGTGCCTCGATGCACAGCTCTTGGAGTACTCCTGAGCCACAGCGTCCTGCAACAGCCTATTCCAAGTTGCTGTTGTCCCAAGCATTTGGCACAGACAGGGCATTGTTTCTCACCAGGCTGTCGTTGTAGTCATGACTTCACCCTGATTATGGTTTAAGCGATGTTGGGCTGACATCTCCGTTGGTTGGTGACGCGTCTTTGGCAAAGACTTTCGGAACCCACTGAACCTCCACTTGGCCGAATGCAGTAAGATTGGCAGGGGTGGAATAGTGGGTTGCTTGAGCACGTTGCCGTATGTTTGTTCCATTGCTCTTTGGAATGACTGCTCACAGAGGTATGGTTTGCAGATTCTGGTCAAATCCTTGCTGGAGGTGCGAGCAGAGGCCGGAGGGAAGCCACCTTTTACTGCCTGACCTGTCAGAAGCTTGCAAGAGATCTTCAAGCACATGTCCTTGCATCGCAAAGAAGGGTGCCATGTCTTATATACAGAATCGGTGTATATTGACTTAGGCTGACACCTCGTTTAAGATGATTGCTTTTAGCAAACTTGCAAAGTCAGAGTCGGATACTTGCCGCTTCCCTGCTTCGGCTTTGCTGCAAGCTTGCGGTAGCATATTATGTTTGCAACATGAGCCAATATCCAAGCCATTGCACACACTCTGAGTCCCTCGCTCTCATTTGCCCTAGCCACTGTGATCACTTCTGGCAATCGAGCTGTTGCGCTGGGTGATTTTGCGTCAGGTGAACGCCACCACGAAGGATCTGCTCCTCCAAGGCGCCGTGGTCCAGTCTGGAGGGCAGACCCCGCTGCACCTGGCCGCTCAAAGCGGGGAGCTGGAGCTGGCGCAGCTGCTCCTTGCGACGCTCGGAGGCAACGGAGTCTGCTGCATGCTCCAGCGAAAGATGAATTTCGTATTCTCCCCCAATGTCCCTCTTCGCAACAGTTGCAACATTCGCAAACTGCCATTCAATGAGGGCTTTGCAAAGAAAATTGCTCGTGCTCACAGATGTGCTGCGTGTCACAGTATCGCAGGGCATAAGTCGGGTTGAACAAGAAATCTGCAACATTGTCACAAGAAGAGAAGGGCTTAGAAGGGAATTCAGGCTTACACATTCTTTCCTCTGAGAATCTCAGTGTGTCTAGGGAATTCTGCCTTCGGGCACGGGTGTGCAAAACAGGGACTTCAATCCGCGGCCCTGGCTTTGGGCTCTCTGACTTGCGAGGAACAGGGCAGACATTGGAGTGCGGGACTATGACCACTTCAGTGCGCCCGAGCTTGCGAAACTGCATCGCAAACATGAGCTGAGCGCATTGTTTGCCGAGGAGCTGGATGAGGTTGGGGTACAACTTGCCGAGCTGTTTGTAGAGTTCAGCGATTGGAATGACGCAGTTGGTGACAATGGGCTTCATCGGGGCTCATTGCGCGCAACGAAGGGATCTGCGCCATGATGTTCTGCTGACAATCAACATTCCGAGTTTTGATATCCAATAGCATACATCATGCCACTAAGATGCTTCTTCTTCGTTCGATTTCATCCTTATGCAGGCGAAGGGTCAAAGTTTGTCATGCGCCAATGTCCTTTGCCTTCCCCGCGACTTTGCCAGCAGATTCGGCGCTGACGCGTTGCCAGGCAACGTTGCAGCAGAAGTCCGCTGCCGCCAAGGAGGCGGGCAAGCAGCGGGCGGCCAAACAACTGGAGGCGATGTCAACCGGCGCAGAAAGGAAACGAAACTTTGTGAGTCGTCAGTTTGTCAGACGGGTTTGGAGGCTGCAAGGACTTTGAAGTCAAAAGGTTCCTCACAGCTTTGTCGAGAGAGTGTGAAAAGGGTTTGGACCTGTGTTGGACTGATTGTCGAGAAGGTCGAGTGATGGGCGAACACGCAGGCCAATCAGCAACTCTGTTCAGCGACCACCTGCTTTTTGAACAGCGTCACACGTCACACAAGTTTGTAGCTTGTAAGCAAGACTTCTTTGTGTTTGCAATCGGTAGGCAGAGCGATCAGTGAACTCACAGCAGCAGACATGTCATGTATTTTTGGTTTATGCGCGTGGACCAATTGTTGGAGGGTTTTGTCGGCGAACGCAGGTATGCACCTGAGGAGTTGTTTTGCGTGGGTTTGCGTTTAGCATGGTTTAGGGTCGTTTTGTAAAGAGAGGTACTCAAAGAAAGATGACATATTTTGAGCGAGAAACCCGAAGATCCCGAGCGAAGATCCCGAAGAAACTGGCGATCTTTCAGGTTTTGTTTGGAGTTCGTGGGCTGGTTTCGGGTATGTTACGGGTTGGTTTAGGGCTCCGTTGGGGTTGGTGCAGGGCGGGTTCAGGTTTCGTGTTTGGTTGGTTCGTGGCTGGGTTAGAGATGGTCAAAGGTATGTTTCGGGTTAGCTTGGATTGGTTTAAGGCTTGTTTATATAGGGTTGGTTTAGGGCAGGTGTAGGGGCTTAAGATCTGTTCAGGGTTGTTTAGGGTTGGTTTGAGGTTGGTTCAGGCTGGTTTGGTCTTGGTTAAGGGCTGGTGTTTTCAGGCTTGGTTGAGGGTTGGTTTAGGGCCGGTTTAGGGTATGCTTGGGGTTGGTGGTTTAGGGTTGGCTTACAGCTAGCCTAGGGCTAGGCTGGTTTGGTCTCAGTCCGATTTGGGCTTGTCAGATCAGTGCATGTTTGGTCCGGGTGCATTGCTGGTAATGGGTGCCCAAACTTGGTCAACGATTTGGGTTGGTCGGGTTGGGTTGTTCAATGCCACGATATATTGGGCTGGTAACTGGTCACCGATTCGCAGCTGATTGGCAACCGATTGGCTGGTTTCGGTCACCAATCTTGGTCACCGATGGGTTCCCATCTTTTCTGATTGTCGTCGGCAAGAAATCCCCGTCCCATGTTGCTTGATATTTTTGTGCCTCATACACGTGGCAGTGTGTCAGGTGCCAGAGCACCTTCGCCATGCCTACGCACTGACGGGGGCTTCGAGGCATGAATGAGGAGTAGTTTTCCAAGAAGTCATCTCAATGATTTGTTTGGCGCATACTTGTGACATGTGATCAAACGTCAATCTTAGCAGGTGAGCAAGCTTTGTATTGGCAGGATATGTGTCTGGAGGTACTTTTCTCTGACCATGGCAAGACAGTTCAAGAATTGTTTGCTTCAAAGATGGAGGACGAATCAAGTGGTTGCAGTTTTGTTTCTTACCGAGTGGATCACAGGGAAGCTCCGCGACTGACGTGAGCGGCAAGTAACATGGGACTGCTTCCTGCCACAGGATGTTTGACTGCGTCAGCCAAGGGGCCCCAACACTTGACCAAGTGATTAACTTTCGCTTTCTCCAAGCTGCCTCCCAGGTTTGGTCCGTGGAGGACTGCGAGTTTGTGCTCGGTGCAGTCAAGGAGGCAGTGGCCTCCCGGCAAGAGGGTTGGACCACTGACCGCCACGCCGCCTACGCCACCACGGACGTGCCCTGCAGCGAGATTCCAAGCGTGAACACGTGGGTGCGCGAGTCCCTGACGCAGCGGGTCTTCCCGGAGCTGCTCAGCAGTTACACAAGAAACCGCGTCCTCTGCTGCCCTTTTTGGAAGATGGTTTACGCGTTGGCAATTGCTCCAGATTTGAACATCATACTGGTTTGTGAGCTGGTGTTGCCAAGCGCCTCTTCCACTCCAAGCCCTCAAGATACATTCAACTTGAATCAGAGCATGGCTTTGAGGCTTGCAAAACGTCATGGCTGGCGCTTGGACAACCTTTACTTCAGAGACCTCTTCTTCGTGAAGTATTCTGTGGCTGGCCAAGCTGGCTTGGCGCTGCATCGGGATGGCTCCGTCGTGTCCTTCAACCTCCTGCAGCTTGTCAAGGTCAATTTGGATCGCGGTTTGGCGATCAGCCCTTCAGACAGGCCACTCGATTCTACCCCAGTTGCTTTAGGATTCTAGTTCCCGCCCGCAAGGATGCTTGGAAGCGTCCTTGGAACATTATTCAAACCCCTGTTCATTACTTGCCTTCCACACCTTTGCTTTTACATAATCATTCGCACACCAAGATCTTTGCCCTCCTTGTCAGCACAAGCAGCAATGCCCCTCCTTTCTACCGGTGATGCAGATTTAGATCAATGGCCGAGGCTCAACGACGCGAGCAACTTTGAGGGAGGCGGCACCTACATCGAGGTGGATGACCTGGCGCACCAAATCCAGCAGGGCGACTGCCTGGTGCACAGCGGCAAGCTCCGCCACGGAGGCCTGGATGTCTCAAGTCATCTGAAGAAGTTGGGGTGCCAGTGCGAAGCCAGAGCTGGAAACTTGGGAGAGCGCACTAGGACGATGTTTCGACATTTTTCCCCATGGAGCGGTTTGCCTTTGAGATCTTCATGTCGTCATGGCATTGAGCCTATAGCAATCATGCAGTGCTGCAGGTCAGCCGGTCACAAGCGGTGAGAGATGCTCAGCAGCAGCTTCCATTCTGTTGCTTGACTTGGCATTCATGTCGTACTGTCTGCACGTGTCTGAGGATTTATCCTGGTGGCCTTCGTTGACGTTGATGAGGGATGACACTGTGCTGGGCGCAAGATCAACCTCCGAGGATCCAATTGGCAGCATGCGCAGCATGCGCCGTGCGTGCAGAATGCCCCCGCGAAGCCTCAGCCGAACTCGGATCAAGCCGCAACCACGGCTTCGTGCTGTTGGCAATGTGCTGCCCTCCCGGTCCAGAGTATTGCCCACGCCTTTTCATGCTGGGCGCTGGCAAAAGAGCAGCGCCTTTACTCCTCGGCATTCCGTGGAGATCAGTCTTGGACTGCCAGGCTCTACTCTGTGCTAGTAGGTTCGCGTGTGGAAACAGCTCGCAATGTCTTCCAGCCGAGTGTCCAAGAAATGCCGGCAACTTTTGTGTGGCCTTTGACGGATTGCTTATCGACCATCTCTGCCAATATTGCTAGTGGGAGTGGGACATGCAACATCTCATTGAGTTGAGGCAGATTCTACTTCCAAGGCCTTGCTACGCGGCCTTCTCTCGGAGCCTGAGACTGGTGATGAGGATAACAGGCAGGTGCTGGAACACCGACTTGTGCTTTGGTTGAGCACTCCCTCGTCAAGATTTGTTTTGCAAGTCGCAGAGAACCGCGAATACACCCACACACACACACAAAGCACGATCCTTGTTGGGCCTCCGATGTTCGACACAAACACACTGGTAGGTGACATGCCACCCACTCCACAAAGGCGTGATGGGCAGTCGGATCCGTTAGTTGATCCTTGGGTGCCTTTCTGAAAATGATCCAACTTTCCTCGGCCGCTTCCAGGATGGCCTTCCGGCGACTCTGCCAACTCCGCTCGGAGTGCTCCTCTGCAGAGGGCGCCGGGCAGCTCTGTGGCGACTTGGGCTGGGCCGCGCCCCCGGGTTGTGGGGACGGATGGACGGCTGGATGGCTGGATGGCTGGCTGGCTGCGCAATGCGGTTTGGCTTTGTCAGGTGTCTTGGTTCTTGAGAGGCTCAGGCGCAGCCTTCCTGACGCAATCAAACCGGTTGACGTTGGCAAGAGGTTTCGTGTTAGGCGGAAGATAGTCGTTGAGTAGCCAATGCAAAGTTGGTGACAGCAATAGTTCTTTGCACATTGGCTTGTGATACGGAATTGCCAGGCTTTATACTTTTCTCCGGCATTGCTCACTTGACCTATTTGTTGGTGACAAAACGCTACTCACTATGATCATACACTACATACCTCTCTGACGTGCCTACTTGCCAGACGAGCGATTGCTCGATGCATCCTGCAGGTGTCGCGAGGTCAATCTGAGCCGTCCTTTGAGCAAGCTGCGTAGAGCCGGCCTGTGATTGTTTGTGCCTCTTCAGATCGATACGGATAGACAACTCTGAACTGTCGCTTATTGACATGCTTCTGCTGCAAACCACCTCTCAACTCATGGTGTGTTTGCGCTTTTCTAAAGACTGTGTAGACTTAGTGAGCACAGTACCGATTCCCCCCCTCCTGTGGACTTGCGAAAATGCAGACCAGTTTGCTATGCTCTCGCCAGCACCCAAGCGGCAACCCAGCTGAGCTTTGCAGAACCAAAGCATGTGGTCCGAAACCTCCTGTACTGTAGGGAGTTGGTGGTGGTGGTGGAGCAAGCTTGTGTAGAGTCACCTTGGATCCTTGTTCCTGGATGTGAACCCTCGGACTTGCGTGATTCATCCCTGCACTTGTGCACAGCCAGGTTTTCCCTGCGCAAAGGCGAGTTCAGTGATGTCGTCGCCTCAGCTGCAGCAATTGTACAGTCCTAGCAAGGATGTTGCTGTTGCATGGTCAGTTACTCTGAGCCTAATCGTATCCTGCTCAAGTAGGCGAGCAGATCATTGGCCCTTGCAGGGCATTGTCAGCCAGGTAACAACTACATCGCGCGGCGTGCATCTGATTCAGCGGATAGCTTGACAGAGCATCAAAAGATGTCTCGCTGACAGTGCTGTTCCACCCTTCTCATGGTTCGTAGGATTTGTGTCGCGTTTAGGGCACACTGAGCAGGGTCTCATGAGCTGCCTGCATGGCACCGCGTTTGTCGCCTCCTCGCGGCATTTCATTGGAGCTTGGAGCCCGCGGCGTTGGCTCAAGCGAAACACATACAGCCTGGCCCTGGAGACGTCAGCCGCTTCAGCGGACAGCCAAGGCAAAGGCCACCCACCGAACAAAGCGCAAAGCGACTTGAAGGGACCAAGGCGCATCCACCGAAAGCTGGGATGAAAGCCGCCAATGGCCGAGCGCCCCTCGTGAGTCGCAACCTCTCGCCGGGAGCCCTGGCAAAATGTTGTGACTGCGAGGTGATGGGTGGGGTCAAGGCATGATGCACCGGCATTTCGGCTCAAATGCTTGTGCAGGAGAGGTCAATGTATTGTTTGATGAGATGCGACCCTGAATGAACATGCCCAAGTGTAGCATGAAATGAAGTGAAAAACGCTTGGCATGGACGACTTCAATTCATCAGTGGCATTCATGTTGTTTTCACTTTGACTAGCAGGAGCCAGTAGCAAGCCTCAGGGCTGACATCTACTTCCATGGCACACGTGGGGTTTCAGATGCCCAAAGGGTAGCATTCCGGTCCCCCCAACATCGCCATAAAGGTCTCAAAAATCTCGAGCCAACCAAAGGACCTTTGCGCTCCCAAACAACAGTATCAGCTTTGCAACGCTTCGCAGGATTGCCAGCCTGTTTTGCTTCTCCAGGTTGTTTGTGCCTTGCCTTTGCAGGGCCGTGTTCGTCCGTCACCGTGACCGGCGAGCAGCCAGGAGGTTTGCCAGGCCCTCAGCTCAAAGCTTGGCGTGTCATTTTGATGTGGTGTCAGAGGGGCTATGCTTCAGGTTCACCAAGAGTGACTCTCAACACCTGCACAATTTCCAGCAAATCTTTTCACTGTTTGCTACTTTTTCTTGGCTTCCCAACTTGCTCCAACTAGAGGCTCGACAGCCAACGTCTTAGGACAAGTTGTGCAGCACTCTTCCAGGACTTGCCAAGGACTCTCCTTCAACATAGATCTTATCCACTGTGCAGCGTTTGACGTGCCAAGGGTGCGGGACCCATTGGTGATGTCTGGCTGCCATGTTTGGAGAGACGTTTGGCGCATGTGCAAATGGGTTTGAGCTTTACCTCCTGTGAGGGCTTGGTCAATTTTGCTGTAGGCACCAAAGCTTTGCAAAACCAAGGCATGCCCATTGCGGGTAACAACATATTTTGACTCTGACTGATGTGAATCGGCCAGACGATTGAGCGGCAGGCAGATCGCCTGCTCGATGTGGAGGGCGGCCGAAAGGAGGCCCAATTTTTCCAAGGTTGTATTGTCGTTGAGCCTGCAGTGGATTTAGGTGCCAAGCCATCATGCACGTTTGACAAGAGTGACTTCAATTTTCTGGATGCTAAAACACTTTGACATCCTCAGCTGATTGTTTGCACCTGGTGTAGCCTCGCATACGTCCTTGCAGACAGTACAGTTGCCCAGCCTTGCATTGCCTACCGACTGCACATTCTGATCGCCATAGCCAACGGACATAATGAATGTTTGTCGACGAGGTGGATGGCAGAAGCAAGTCGTCTGCTTTTGCACCAGCCGTTGGGATTTTGTTGTCTGAAGTTGATATATGTTCCAGCACAGGCGCAGGCTGGCATCAACAGAAATCGGAGCAGTTACTCTCAGACCGACAGCTCGCGGCCTGCAACCACAACATGGTTTTGCGATGGTCCGCCAGACTTTGCATTCCTTGAGATGTATAGGCGTCACCCAATTTTTGGGAATAAGGCCAAGGAAAGCAGCAGACCAACTAGATCAGCCAGCAAGGTTCCCCCGGAGTCGTTATCAGCCGCCTTTTTCCTTTCTTCGTGGGCACGACTCGGTTGCATGTGGTGCAACTTGATCCCACACTATCCCGAGCTACTGCTAAGTACCTGGGCACTCTTCTATTGCCTTCTCTTACAGTACTGAGAAGTATGACTTGATGCTGAATTCCCCCAAGGAATTGGTGACAAGGGTTTTAAAGATCGCTTTGTGTCCTCTTCCGTCTCGCCCTGTTGGATGGTCCGGAGGTTTCTCTGGAGATGTCCTCTCTTCCACCTCAATGGGTGGAAGCTGCAGAGCAGGCCCAGGGCTGAACAGTGATTGTGTGCAGTGGCAGCAACTAAACATATATGCGGGTCAGATTCCGATTGCACGAATATGGGATTGCACCGAATTCTTGATGGCGTGGAGCTGTGCAGCTTCATTTGTTCCCGACCAAGAAGGTAGCCTGTGAGATACTTTGATTTCCGCTGGACTGAAGGCAAAAGAGGACATGAAGCTCATCAAGGACAAGCTGATACAGTTGGAAAAAGCTCAGTCAAAGTGCTGAACTTACTTTCGCAATGTGACACCCAACATGTGCCTATGGCTTTCATAGAGTCTTCGTGTTGCAACAGATGCCCAGGCGATTGCTGAGAGTGTTTTCGGATGACAAGGCGCCCGACCGTGAGGCCGGCTGCTGTTTGTTTGTCACGCATCAGTCAGGATACATGAGTGCATCTTGGAACATTAATTTGGATGCCGAGGTGGAGCGAATTTCCAATGAAATCTCTGCTTTAGCTCTTGCCTCAGTCTTGCATTCTGCACGGAGGATGGCGTGTGAAGCGTGCAGTCCGGTTTCTGGTATGCTTGGCCCTGCTTGGCTCGCATCAATGCCATGCTTGAATTTGTGAATGTCCCACAGGTGAAGAGATGCGAGCCAGCGGTTCATCAGGACAGACCGCCTACATCCATGCAGCTTTGGGAAGCAGTTGCAGCAAGACTTTTACTCGGAGAGGTACCACTAGATTTGGAAATGTCACCATTTATGTTTGCACTCTTTACTCTGTATCCACGTTGGCAAGCAGGTGAAGTCTCGTGGAAGCTCTGCGAATGAGAAGGACAAAGAGTGCCAGACCTGGATTTGCATGATGGCAGTGGTTCGGAGCAAGCGCTTGTCAGAGTGGAATCAGTGCTGCTGCACAACTGTTTGCAAGATGTACCGTCAACTTGGCATTGCTCGCTAGTGTTGGCCTGGGATGCATGACTTCATTTTACCTGTCAGTGCCAAGGTTGCGCCAGAATATGCAGCGCAATCTTGCAACGCAGCAGCGGACTCAGCATGGTAGTGCTGTTCCCGTAGGTGTTGGGCTGGTTTTGCGCAGCTGCTTGCGCAGGCAAATTCCCAAGCGGCTTTAAACAATATTGCTTGTCAATAAGTTTTTAGCTTCTTACTGCAACAAAGGAATACATAAATAAAGATGGGAGAAACAGAGAGAGAGAGAGAGAGCGGGAGATGCATAGAGAGGGAGACAGCGGGAGAGCGAGGGAGAGAGCACCAGTTGTCGATTGGAATTTGTGTTCAAGTTTCGATTGGCCATTTTGCCTCAGGTTGCAACAGCTTTCACAGCAGTTCAGACAGTCGCAGAAGGCCGTGGCCAAAGAATGCAGCAAGGGAGTCCCAAGTTCAAAGGGTCAGGCCCAAATTGTAGCCTGATTGATTGATCTCAGTCTGATTCCACCTATTGGCAGAGAGCTGTCGACTTCCGCTCTCGGGACTTGCCTCCAGCTCCTTTCGTGCAACCATAGCAGCTTTCAATGAGACCCTCAATCTCTGTGTTTAAGCCTTTGCCCCGGCCACCAGCCAGCCTACTTGGTTGGCTCGAACATTGCCAGACCCTTGCCCAGTCAGGCTTACCTGAACGACATCCAGAAGCGCAAGCAAAAGGATGACTCTACCTCGCGGACCGGCATGTCACAGCCTCGGAACCAGTGGCCACACACTATGCGCAGCTACTCTTGGCACCTGGCCTTGAGACACCTCTAACACTATTGCTGGGATACCTGAGCAAACGATTGTATCAACACCTCTCCAACGATGTGTTATGTTGTTTAAGTCTTCTGAGGAACTCCTTGACATGAAAGAAAGTTTAGAAGGAACTTTCGTGTACTGAAGCTTCCTGAGCTGCTTTCTCTGAAGAATGGTGGGTTGGAGCCAAGAGCGTCTTGTGTTTCACCGCCAACTGGATATGGCGCTTTGAACCAAACATGTGTGTGCTTTCTATGCTAGAGAAGCCGGTTGACCGTCTAAAATGGAGTGGCATTTTTGGAGAACACATACTGGATTGCATGAGAGCTCAATATAGCTTCAGCGATAGTAGCGTTTGCCCAGATCCGAATTCGACCTGGATTTCACTGAAAGCCAGATGCAGGACACCATAGTGCCGGGATTGCAGTCGCACGATGTGACACAGTCCAATACGATCTCATGGGAGTGAACAGAATGTGAGTCCAAACCAAAATGACGGGTGAAGGCGTTTCGTATTAGGTCTTGGTGCTTTTGCTAAAGTAGGCTTCTGCTCCCTGGGTCAGCGGACAGGATCTCCAGGAGATGGAGCAGAGCTGCGAGCTCAGAGTTTGAACGCACAGTTTGGCTAAGTGTTCAAGCAAGAGGAACCCTAGCTCCAAGATTAGTTCTGTTGGCTGTTCACAGCTTTTTTTGTCCATTGCTTTTGCCTTCACAAAGCATAGTAAGACACTTGCTCTCCGTATGATTGAGGATTAAAGTCGGGTCATGGCAGAAGGATCCTGCGCATAGGCTTTCAGAGAGAGGTTTCTTCAGCCCCCTCCAGCGCTAGAGTTCAAGCATCCAGCGCCGACCTGTGAGGTGCAAACCTGCGAAATGAAGAGATCAGCAGGATTGCCGCCTCCATCACTGACCTGCATACCATCTTCAAGGAGTGCGGGAGACGGAGAGGGAGAGAGAAAGGCAGAGCGGGAGAAGGTGCAGAGCGGTTTCACTGCACTTATGTTTGCATTGTAGCATCGATGCTTCTCAAGATTTTCACGTGTCGAAGTGCAGCTCTTTGACGCTGGATGCGTAGCACTTCAAACTGAAAATCGCATATGATAATATTAGAACATGTTTGATACATTTGGTCTGGATTTCTTCTCACAAAACGGAAGCATCGTTCAAGGTTGCTTGCTTGATTTGCACCTGTTCGGGGTTGCAGTTTACATCCACGCACATATATATATATATATATTGTTGGAAGAGGGCACGGGGGACAGCCAAAGCTGATTTTGCAGGAGCTTGCTGTGCTAGTCATAGATCAGGGATCCATCCTGGATCGTATTGACTACAACATCGAGCAGGCGTGTATGCTTCATTGGCAATTGGCAAACCAAAGCGCAGCCGGGATAGGTCAAGGTTCCGCTCGAGTCGAGAACAGACTAAATGACTCGAGAGCGCCCACTCGAAAGGGCTGTCACCGCGGCTAAGCTTCAGCGACAGGTTGTGGTGCAGAGCTCCGAGGCCAACAAGCAATTGCGAAAGGCAGGGCCAAAAACTCGGCGCATGCCTCCTACCAGCTCTTCTGGGAGGAACAGTTGCTCCCTCTTGATCCGCCTCAGAAATGGCCCTGCATTGATGAGACAAACCTTTCTGCAAAGCGCCACCTCTGAGAAACGGACACCTGTCTCATGCTCTGTGTCGTGGTGCCAGGCTGAAGAGAGTCAAAAGAGCAATCGGGTGCATCTGGCATGTTGAGAGCTGGCGCTGTGGAACAAGCAGATGCGTGTGCGAGTAATTATAGACAATCGCAGCTGTTCCCTCCTCCATTCTGACCCCAAAAGAGTTGACCTGTGAGCTTTTTCAGACAGATGCTGTGTGCTGTAGGTTCATTGAGACTCCTGTTACAGGCCCGATAACATGCCTCAGAGGTAGCACAACTTATGAAACTTTCGATTTGTCTTTCAATTCTGACCTTTGCCCCGTCTTGCAGATATTGCCAGGCAATGAAGTGCATCTACTTTTTGGTCATTGTGAATCTTGCAGGTGGCCCAGCATTGGTTTGCGCCCTTGGTTCTATTGGACGTTTTTGAGCCCATGGAACTGACCTTTGCTGCACATCTCAGGTATTGATTCTGATGCTGATTCTCAAGGCCAGACACTAGGCGCGGCCCAAGTTCAGATCACAGGCGCCCGGCACACACACACACACATCAGTCAATGTGTGCTTCTGCTTACTAAAAGCTGAACCTTTTAAGGGATATCAAGCCCAGGCTGATTTCAGAACGTGACAAGCACTGCTTATGTCGCAAGCATAAGACCTAAGGGGCGCAGAATCAATGCCGGCCACACTGCTTCCAGGTGCGATCTATGGCCCGAAGGTTTGCCCAGCCCGATCTATGATCTATGATTTGGATTGAGTTGACAGTTGCCTTTCAGAGTTTGTGTTTGCTTCCTTGATCCAAGAGGGCGACAAAGAGTCCCACCTATTTGAGTCAAGTGCTATGAGTGTGGCACTGTGGTAGGTTGATGCACTCTTGCCGCTCGTCTCTGCGGAGAGGGCAGAAAGGTCTCCAAGCCACTCTGCAGGCTTGGAGGCTCAGACTGAATGCCGTTCTTTCCACGTGGAAATCTTGACCCACAATGTAGGATGCGGCTCTGCCCAGACAATCATTGTAACATAGGGCAATCCCTAGGTCCCTTTGGCCAACCTCTGGAAGTCTCACAAAGCTGAAAACCAGGCACGGAAGTTCCGTCACGGAAGTGCAACCTCTCCTCGCATCAAGCTGTGCCAGGTCTGTACAGGAGGCCCTTGGCCATCACAGCTGCCGAGCAGAGCTGCTCTGTTCCAAACATTTCTGAGATTCAGCCACTGTCAGATTCTTGCAGCATTGGTGGGACTTTAGGCAACGTGCAAACGTCAAGGGAGAATTTACAAAGTTAGAGCATCAGCAGAGATCAGGGAAGAAGTCTGATTGCCTGTGCTGCTTTGGTTGCCACGCGGCTCAAGTGGGAAATACTTGAGAATCCACATCCACCCACAACCATAGCATGGTATGGTGCTGATTAGTGGCAGATTGATTGCTCTCACTTCACGCCACAACACTGTCAGATTTCCAATGCCAAAGCGCGGACCAACATCTTGGCATGCATTTCTGAGTGTGAATCAGCTTTGAGTGTTGTCAAGAATGAGCACAGCAGCGAAACAACAGCGCATTCCTGCGGAGCTCAAACCATGGGCAAGGACAGTCTGTGTGATGCGTCAAGCTGTGTCAAATCTCCTGGTAGGTCAAGCTCATATTTGTGTTTCCTGTTGAATCAGTTTGCGGACTTCACAAGCCCTGCTCCTTTGCCTGCAGAAAGCTGGATATCTAGACCCAGACGACGAACGGCTCCAGAAGGCGCTTGGAGCACGGGAAGCAGAACCCTGCATGAATGCACTACAGTAGCAAGCAGGACTGGCAAGATAGCAGTAGCAAAATTTGCACCAGCAAGTGGCGCTAGCAAATTGCAGTGCGAGTTGCACAAGGAAGTTGCATTGGCAAGTTGCAGAATGTCGACTTCATGTTAGTAAAGGGGGTCCCCCCTTCAGCCGTTTATTTTTTGGGGGGCAAAGTTCCAAGATTAACAACAAAAGCAATTCCTTGTAGTACCTGTAGTACTGCTTGTGGTACTTTGTGTAGTACTGCTTGTAGTACTTATTGTGCTTGTAGCTGTACTTCCAGTAGGCTTGTAGTACTCATAGTAGTACTTGTAGCACTGCTTGTAGTACTTGTAGTACTTGTTGTACTACTTCTAGTGCTTGTAGCACTTGTAGTAGTACTTGTAGTACTGCTTGCGGTACTTGTAGTACTTGTAGTACTTGTAGTAGTACTGTAGTACTTGTAGTTGTACCCGCAGCACGTGTGGTTCGCCCAGAGCCACTCTGATCCACTTTTCGGCTTAGGTTAGGGTTTATGGTTTCAAGTTCTAGGGTTCAGGTTTAGGGTTTAACTTACCCTCAAACCCTCAATCTAGGCTCAGGTTTCGGGCTGTAAGGTATAGATTTAGGTTTCAACTTTCCCTCAACCGTCAGTTTAAGGTTTAGGTTTAGGGTTTAACTTGCTCCAAAACCCTCAGTTTGGGGTTTAGATTTAGGGTTTGCCTTGCCCCCGCCTACCGTGCAGCGGGGATGCGCGGAGACCTTCGTTTCTCACCAAATCACAGACATGCTCTTGGTTGAGGCTACAACAGACTAGCCGGCCACAAACAACGCAAGTAGCGACCGAAAGCCGCAGCCTGCGCAGCGGCGCGCATCGCATGAGGTCTTGCGATGTCTTGAACATAGGCAGTTCGTTATGAGGTGCGGGTGCTAAATCGCTGGCAGGCGCAAGGGATTCTGGGCGTGTGGGTCCCCAGGAAAAGTGCCTCCGGGCAAACCACAAGTGCTGCCCGTCGTTGCAGCGCTGCTTGTAGTGGTGCTTGCAGTACTGCTTGTAGTACTTGTAGTGCTTGTAGTGCTCTGTGCGCATGGATTCTGCAGCTTGAGGGCATGAAGGCGCACGTAGCAAATGGTTTGTGTTAGCTGAGTAATGTAATGTAATGTAATGTTATCTAATGTAATGCAATGCAATGCAATGTAAGTATGTATGTGATGTAATGTAATGTAATGCAATGTATCGCGCTGTAATGTAACATAATGCAATGTAACGTACTGTAGTGTAATGTAATGTAATGTAATGAAATGAAATGTATGTAATATATGTAATGTATGTAATGTATGTATGCACATGAATACATGTATGTACGTATGTGTGTATGTCTGTATGTAATGTATGTGTGTAGTGTAGTGTAATCTAATGTAATCTAACCTAATGTAATGTCTGTGATGTATGTCATGTATGTAATGTATGTAATGTATGTAATGTATGTAATGTATGTAATGTATGTAATGTATGTAATGTATGTAATGTTTGTAATGTGTGTATGTTTGCGGGCATGCATGTCTGTGTGTATGTATGTATGTATGTATGTATGTATGTATGTATGTATGTATGTAGTATGTATGTATGTATGCATGTATGTATGTATGCGTGTAATGTGTCTATGTAGTGTAATGCAATGCAATGCAAGGCAAGGATGTATGTACGTAATGTAATGTAGTTTAATGTAATGCGCTGTAATGCGCTGTAATGTAATGTAATGCAATGTAAAGAAATGTAATGTAATGTGATGTGATGTGATGTAACGTTTGTAATGTACGTATGTATGTATGTGTGTGTGTATGTATGTATGTATGTATGTATGTATGTATGTATGTATGTATGTAATGTATGTATGTATGTATGAACTAATATAAGGTAATTTAATGTAGTGTAATGCGATGTAATGTATGTAATGTATGTATGTAATGTAATGTAAGGTAGTGTAATGTAATGTAGTGTAGTGTAGTGTAACGTAATGTACTGTATGTAATGTATGTGATGTATGTATGTATGTCTGTATGCATGCATGCATGCATGCATGCATTCGTACATATGCATGTATGTATGTGTGTAATGTGTGTATGCAATGTAGTGCGATGCAATGCAATGCAATGCAAGCACGTATGTATCTATATGTGTAGTGTAATGTAATGTATTGTAATGGGCTGTAATGCGCTGTAGTGTAATGTAGTGTAATGTAATGTAATGTAACGCAGTGTAATGTAATGTGTGTAATCTATGTATGTATGTATACATGAATGTAATGTAATGTAATATATGTCTGTGGGTATGTATGTATGTCTGTGTATGTATGTATGTATGTATGTATGTATGCAATGTATGTATTTATGCACGTACGCAATTTAATGTAATGCAATGCAGTGTAATGTAACCCATATAATGTAACGCAATGTATGTATGTATGTATGTATGTATGTATGTATGTATGTATGTATGTATGTATGTATGTATGTATGTATGTATGTAATGTATGTATGCGTGTATGTATGTATGTAATGTAATGTAATGTAATGTAACGTAACGTAATGTAATGTAAGGTATGTGTGTATGTATGTATACATGTATACATGTATACATGTATACATGTATGTATGTGATGTAATGTAATGTAATGTAATGCAATGTTATGCAATGTAACATAATGTTATGTATGTATGTACGTATGTATGTATGCGTGCATGTATGTATGCATGTATGTATGTATGTACGTAAGTATGTATGACATGTGTGCCAACAAGAGAACATCCCGTTGCCCCAGAAACCGTGTGGTAGCCGCTTTGCGCGTTGCTGACTGCAGCGGCGGCTTGTCAGTGCTGTCTTGGTTCGCAGTGGGCTTCAGAAAGGTGAAACATGGTGCAGTGTGCAGTGTCTTTCGGTCCGCGTCAAAAACATCATGCCTTCACGTTGTAATATGCGCTGAGACAAACCCAGAAACAACGATGTGGAAAAGGATAAGGGGCATGCCGGCAACCTTGGCTTGGACAGAGAAGCCGCGACAATGTAAGCCAATCAGAGGACGCCTCAAGTTTGACCAGACCAGTTTGCTTGCCTGTCACATGCTCAGGGTCAGAAGCAGCTGATAGAGGATTCCACGAAATGGTGCAGCACTTGGATGGCATTGTTGGTATGCGATATGTGCAGATTCCAAAATCTGGGAGTTGTGCAGAAGGGCGATGGGATGGAGTATCTGACTTCTCTTGCTCCAAGGAAAGGCCCCAGTCACAAAGAGCGCCAACAAGAGAAGCCGCCGTCTAAGTTGGAGGGTAAGACAGACAGTGAAACATCCTCAAACTTGGTGAGCCCACGGCAATGTTGGGCATGGGACCGATGCATGAGCAGGAGAGCTGATCTCGAGACTAACTTGGCTCTGTTTGCATCAACACCTTTGCTCAGTAAAACATCTTCGAAAGAAGCTGTGCCCTGAGCACATGGATTCCACACAAAGAATCAATGCACAGGGGCCACTGGACTGGCAGTGCCAAGAAGTCCCTTTTGCGGCGCTGAGTGTTGATAGGTAATGGCATACTGACATGACAATGGCTCAAGAAAAACAAGCTGCTGCCCGTGCTGACTTTTAGGTAGATCCCACCTTTCAACAGGTTATCAGCCGTATCGCTGGTACCTTGTACAGTCAGCTCTCACCCGCGCCGCAATGGCGTCAAGCGGCGACGGATGCCACCCTGCCATAGCAAGGATGAACGAAGCAGTGGCCAACGAATTGATCAAGGGTGGGCATCCGGAAGGGAAACCGCCATGCAATCCGTCACAGCGCTCCCGAAGCAGTTTTCCTGAATCCGACCAAGGTGATGCGCTTGTGCCCATCACATCGGTCGTTCTTCCGGAGGATTCGATGGGAAGCGGAGGGGAACCTCTCGCCGGACATCAACCTGGGCAAGAGATGCACGCGCACATGACTAAGAATGAGACTCACCTTCATCAACATCATGTGAGCGCCCCGAATATATATCAACACAGCCAGACGGTGAATGTGGTCAACACAGGTCCGAGCACGGAGGAAGTGGCTGCCTATGCTTCGGCACGCCACGACGCCATCATCAATCAGCTCCAAGCCGGCCATGTTGAGGAAAAAGGCCGACTCTATCAGGACGCGGTGAACCACATCAATGTATGCCAACAAGAGGCAATGGCGAAAGAAAGAGAGTTTAACGAGGCAAGACAGCAGTGGGTTGCTCAACGCTCAGAAGCTGAACAGAAGTATGAACGGCTCAAATTGATTTGGGAAGTCACCCACAACAAGCAGAAGGAGGATGCGGACAGGAACGCTGCTGAAATGAGGGAGATTATCATGAAGCAGTCGAGGGACATTGAGGCACTACGTCATGAACTGAAATCTCGCAGTGAGCAGAGTAGTTCTTCTAATGTTCCGATTTTCGGTCTGAGGCCAAAGGCCTCTCCTGTACAGACGTTTCCTCCCCCTGGCCTGGATCTTAGTTCTAAGGTACGTGTCAGGTCAGCTTCCACCGAACTCCGCCGTGACGGGCCAGGTGCCGCCGATGATCTTGACGGGGATGCCGGGGATTACGAACCGACAT